ATTCACCATTGAAACTAGGGGAAAATGTGTCAATGCCCCAAAAGCAAAAACTTCATGTGACCAGCCCCATTGTATTTTCTCCCATGTGGATAAGCCCCAAATACCTACAGTATTTGTGACGAGGCCCTAAAGTATCACTTTTAAAAAAAAGCTCATGGGAAGTTACGAACTTACCCATTTGATGGGACTATACTCGTTTACTGCGCCCCATTCCTATTCAAGAACCATGCCTCTCTCTCTCTCTCTCTCTCTCTCTCTCTCTCTCTCATCTCTCTCTCTAAAACCAAGGACTTTCTGAAGTCTGTCACCCTAGCCCTCGCCCTCCTCGCCGTCGTCGCCTCCGCCCAGGGCCCCAAGCCTCCCCTCGAGTTCGCCGCCGCCTCCCCTCCTCTCCTCCGCCCGCCCTCCTCGCCATAGCTCGCCGCTGCTCCCCGCCTCACCCTCGACTACGCCGGAGTTCGTCGCTGCCACTCTCCGCCTTAAGTTCAGCGTTTCCCTCTCCTCCTCTCCTCCACCCGAGCTTGCAGCTGGAGCTCGCCACCCGCCTAGCCCGCGATCGCCGCCGCTCCGATCATGATGGTCTGCAGAGACCACCTGCTCCAACTCCAGTGTATTAGAACTAAATGTCATCAATGCATTTACATCACGAGCAGATTTCAAATTTGATATATGCACATTTATTAGTTCTATGTTTGTTGGTTTTGGTTCCTTTCACGAGCTTTGAAATGAAAGCTAAGTCATCAATGAATCATTCTAAGTGCTAGTATATTATGTTGAAAAGAATTATAAGTTTATTTCAGTCCCCTCTGGGAAGCAAAGTTTCTTTTACTGTAGTATATTATGTTGAAAAGAATTATAAGTTTATTTCAGTCCCCTCTGGGAAGCAAAGTTTCTTTTACTAGTTGAAATATGTTCTTTAATGTTTGCCATAGTTTTGCTAGTTGAAATCAAGCTGACTTACGAATTTTGCCTTCTGTTGTAAGAAGCTGCCAACATCATCCATAACATTTCTCTTTTTTCCCCTTGTCACTGAAATACCACGTTAGTTCTATTTTATACCACGTTAGTTCTAATTTATACCACGTTAGTTCTAATTTATAACAAGTTAGTTCTAATTTATCTATTTTATACCATGTTAATTCTAATTTATACCAAGTTAGTTCTAATTTATATCACGTTAGTTCTATTTTATACCAAGTTAGTTCTATTTTATACCACGTTAGTTCTAATTTATACCAAGTTAGTTCTAATTTATATCAAGTTAGTTCTATTTTATAACAAGTTAGTTCTAATTTAAACCACATTAGTTCTAATTTATACCAAGTTAGTTCTATTTTATACCAAGTTAGCTCTAATTTTAACCACGTTAGTTCTAATTTATATCACGTTAATTCTAATTTATACCACGTTAATTTTATTTTATAACACATTAGTTCTAATTTATACCAAGTTAGTTCTATTTTATACCACGTTAGTTCTAATTTATACCACATTAGTTCTAATTTATACCAAGTTAGTTCTAATTTATAACAAGTTAGTTCTAATTTATACCATTTTAGTTCTATTTTATATCACGTTAGTTCTATTCTGTAGAGTGTTAGTTCTAATCTGCACAGTGTTAGTTCTATTCTGTAGAGTGTTAGTTCTAATCTGCACAGTGTCTGTAGCGTGTGATGGCTTGTTAGTTCTATTTTATTACACGTTATATCTAATTTATACCACGTTATATCTAATTTATGTTAGTTCTATTTTATACCACGTTATAAACCTAATTTATACCATGTTATATCTCATTTATACCAAGTTAGTTCTATTTTATAACAAGTTAGTTCTAAAATTTTAACCAAGTTTGTTCTAATTTATACCAAGTTAGTTCTATTTTATACCATGTTAGTTCTAATTTATACCAAGTTAGTTCTAATTTATATCAAGTTAGTTCTATTTTATAACAAGTTAGTTCTAATTTAAACCACATTAGTTCTAATTTATACCAAGTTAATTTTATTTTATACCATGTTAGTTCTAATTTATACCAAGTTAGTTCTATTTTATACCATGTTAGTTCTAATTTATACCAAGTTAGTTCTAATTTATATCAAGTTAGTTCTAATTTATTCTAATTTATACCAAGTTAGTTCTAATTTATACCAAGTTAGTTCTATTTTATAACAAATTAGTTCTAATTTAAACCACATTAGTTCTAATTTATACCAAGTTAGTTCTATTTTATACCAAGTTAGCTCTAATTTTAACCATGTTAGTTCTAATTTATACCACGTTAATTCTAATTTATACCACGTTAATTCTATTTTATAACACGTTAGTTTTAATTTATACCAAGTTAGTTCTATTTTATACCACGTTAGTTCTAATTTATACCAGTTCTAAAATTTTAACCAAGTTTGTTCTAATTTATACCAAGTTAGTTCTATTTTATACCATGTTAGTTCTAATTTATACCAAGTTAGTTCTAATTTATATCAAGTTAGTTCTATTTTATAACAAGTTAGTTCTAAAATTTTAACCAAGTTTGTTCTAATTTATACCAAGTTAATTCTAATTTATACCAAGTTAGTTCTAATTTTAACCACGTTAGTTCTAATTTATACCACGTTAGTTCTATTTTATGCCACGTTAGTTTTATTTTATATCAAGTTAGTTCTAATTTTAACCATGTTAGTTCTAATTTATACCACGTTAGTTCTATTTTATATCACGTTAGTTCTAAATTACACCACGTTAGTTCTATTTTATACTAAGTTAGTTCTATTTTATACCATCTCTATGACTAAAAGCTGGTCATGTAGAGAATTTAAAACAAGCATTTAGTAGGTATCTTTATTATGGCGGACCAGCTTATGCCACGTAAGAACACAACATTCGCTTTCATTATATTTTGTGGAGAAGTAATCTTATACAAAATACAAAATACGTAAGAATTGATTTAGAACTAACATGAACTAGTTCAAACAGCTTGTTCTCTAGGAAATGCATGGCTCAGGGACAACAAATGACAAGGCCCCCTATAACACATGAGGTTTATGTGCAATTAACCAAGCATTATACAGATTCTTGAAGGGGTTCAACCCCTAAACACTAGTAAATACAATGGCTAATAACATAGAACAAAATGGATCACCTCTCCCTCATCTTCTTCCACTTCGTCCAAACAACTCCCCAATCATACCCTCCACGTCCTTCACCTTGTACTTCAACCTCACATTCCCCACTTTACAATAACAACCAAAAGAAGAGCTCAAGAAACAAGAAAACCAGAAATCTCAAAAACACAAATTTTTCAAGAACTCACTCATATCAGATCCCAGAAGAGGAAGACGAAGAATCCTCCTCCAAGAAACCATCATTCGACCACTGCTCAGAGATCTCGACGGCTTCCTTCTCTTCTCATGGTTTCGTCCATCCGTACGAGAGCTAGTCCCCTTCTTTCAGAATCTCCTCGGCCAAACCCAGCCTCCCGCCTGAAATCAGCTCCTCCCTCGTCAAAAACGCACTCGGGTTCTCAGATTTCTCCATGAAATCGTAGATATCAAGCTCCAATCTACTGACGCCAGCATCCTTACGTTTCTTAGCGGAAATCGTCGTGGAAGAGGACAAGCGGAGACAGGGGAAGGGTTTCGACGGCGGCAGAGCAGGAAAGAACGAAGAGAAGAGGCTAGCGGAGCTCCGGCGTTAGCTCTACCTCCAGCACATCCGTTGTTGCCTTTTTCTGGTTTTGTTTTCACCACATACCAGAGCTAACATTTTATCAGTCGTGGGCCCGGAGGGACTTGGGGGGCGGCGCCGGGGGCCTGGGCAAAGGTGATGACGGCGAGGAGGGCGAGGGCCCCTTTTATTTTAGAGAGAGGGAGAGAGGAGAGAGAGAGAGAGAGAGAGAGAGAGAGAAGGATGACGTGACTTTCTATGCTTTTGGGCTATGTCTCGGGAAGAAGGAGAAGGGCAATTTGGGTTTTTTTTTAAATACAATCTCTATTTTGTATACTGCTAACGTGTTGGGGCCTTGACACATTAAACATTACTTTTTGGGGCTTATCCACATGGGGGAAAATACAAGGGGGTTGGTCACATGAAGTTTCTGCTTTGGGGGCTGAACATATTTTTCCCTTGAAACTAAGGCGGGACATATCCGGAATGATAATTTTGGGAATTGTTTATTCAATTAATTGATAAGTTACATTGAGAAACAATTAGGGCAAAATATGAGTTTCGCTATTCTATGTTGTCTATTTATATTTAGGACAAAATTTTGAAATCAATTATTTTGAGAATTTAATCAGCAAAAACGATTCAATTAGGGGGAAAATTAGTAAAATCGACCGCTCGTCATGAGAGAATGGTTGATTTTGCTAAAATACAATTTTTACGATACGCGGGACTACTAGTCTCGTGTAATTTAAAGTCTTAAGGTTGATTTTGCTAAAATACAATTTTTACGATACGCGGGACTACTAGTCTCGTGTAATTTAAAGTCTTAATTAAGCGACCAAATTATACGGGACTAGACGATACGCGGGACTACTAGTCTCGTGTAATTTAAAGTCTTAATTAAGCGACCAAATTATACGGGACTAGTAGTCCCGTCCATTTTCCATTTTCTTAGCATGGCTAATGATGGATTAGTAACCCCTAATTACAAGGGATTAGTAGTCTCGTGTAATTAAAAAACCTTCAGCAAAATCAACCGTTTTCTGCCCGAGAGGGCTAAAAATGGTTGATTTTGCTCATTTTTAAGGAAGAATGTCGTTTTCACCGATTAAATTCTCAAAACAGTTGATTTCAAAATTTTCTCCTTATATTTAATGGATTTGTATGCGTAATGATCTTTTTGTGTGCGGCCAAGCAAGAGATAGTCAACTTGTCCGATATATTTGTACAACAAAATAACAAAGCCGTATCCTAATAAGAGAGTCACTCATTCGGAACCTTGTTCATCTCATATTCAACCTAGCTCTTGCAAAGACTTGAATTTATAGAGAGATTTGTATCAAACATTGAGTGTGGGAAACAAGCCAATGAAATTTTGTTCTCTTTGGAGATCGCGAACAAGAATAGTGATTCAAACAAGAGGTCCTATAGAATTTTTACAGAGCAAAAGGTCGAAAGATCTTTTGTCGAACTTCCCTGTCGTTTGAAGATTTTGAAGTTTTCCTTCGCTTTGGTTAAGACGTATTTGACACTCTACTACAAATCATTTTTCTCGTTGTCATCGTCCAACAGTAGCTTCCACAATTTGTCAATAGTTTTAATCACTGAGTTAACCGGCCAAACGTAGATGAAGAAAATTTCTAGGAGGAATCTTAATTTAAATTAATGCATCTTTTAACTTAACAATCTCATACTGACTCACGATAGCACGGCTCACACAGGCTGTTCCTAAAGTTTAAAGGTTAGCGCCAAGTGTTTGCTCTCAAGCTTCTCAGCATTGCAGTTCCCATTACTACACGACACAGTCCGTTACAGAAGAGAACAACAACTCCCCTCACTTCATTTACATCTGCTCCTCTGAATTTCTCTCTCATCTATCGCTTCACTAACAATGGGAACTGAAGATCAACGCCCCCTCCACATCTTCTTCCTCCCTCTAATGAGCCCCGGCCACATGATCCCCATGGTCGACATGGCCAAGCTCTTCGCCCTCCGCCCAAACATCTCAGCCACCATAATCACCACCCCTGCCAATGAACCCCTTGTCCGCCCGTCGATCCAATCCACCGCCATTGAGCTCCTCCTTGTCCCATTCCCCCACTCCGTCACGCACCTCCTACGCGACGGCAACGAGAACCTTGCCTCTCTCACCTTCCCTGACTTCCGCGACTTCTTCATCGCCTTCTACTCCCTCCAGAAGCCCATTGAAGAGCTCCTGTACTCTCGCCGCCCAGACTGCATCGTCTCCGACTTTATGTTCACATGGACCACGGACACCGCTGCGGCACTCAACGTGCCTAGAATCGTGTTCTACGGTCATGGCACGTTTGCCAATTGCGTACATGAAAGCCTCCTGCGCTACACTCCTTACGAGAAAGTTAACGATGATTCTGAGGTGTTCGCGGTCGAAGGCCTACCTCACCGTATAGAGATGACGAGATTGGAGGTTTCTTTGGGTTTGAAATACTCAACGCAGGCGATGGTGGAGTCGGTAGAGAGGAGCTACGGCGTGGTTGTGAACAGTTTTGTCGAGCTTGAGCCGGAGTATGCAGAGCTCTATCGGAAGAATGGACGGAGGGCATACTACGTGGGCCCGCTATCGCTGTCGACCAAAGATGAAGCAGAGAAGGCAGATAGAGGGAAGAAGTTCAATCCAGAGCTTGAAGGACTCATTACGTGGTTGGATAAGGAGGAGGAGAATTCAGCTGTGTATGCTTGTTTTGGTAGCCTGAATGAATTCTCAGCTGCTCAGCTGCGAGAAATTGCACTGGGGCTCGAGGCCTCGGGCCAATTATTTGTCTGGGCTGTGAGGGATATCAATAGACAGAACGAAGCAGAGTGGTTGCCTGAGGATTTTGAGGAGAGGGTGAAGGGGAAGGGAGTGGTGATAAGAGGATGGGCACCACAGATTGCGATCTTGAACCATAGAGCAGTAGGAGGGTTCTTGACCCACTGCGGATGGAATTCGACACTGGAGAGTATAAGTGCCGGTGTGCCGATGGTGACGTGGCCTGTAGATTATGAGCAGTTTGTAAATGAGAAGCTGGTAGCTCAGGTGCTGGACATCGGAGTGAGCATCGAGAGAGAAGGGAAGAAGGTGGTGAAGGCGAAGGAGATAGCGAAGGCAGTGAAGAACGTGATGGGAGAGGGGGAGGAAGCGGAGGAGAGAAGAATGAGGGCGAGGAAGTACGCGGTGAAGGCCAGGGCAGCGATGGAGGAGAGCAGCGGGTCATCCTACTTGGAAATGAATCGTATGATCGAGGAGATTAGGGAGCATTCGCATAGGACGGCCAACATCTGACCATTGGAACACTGGGGAAATTTCAGTTGTTTTGCCCCTTTTTTTTTTCACTTTTGTGCTAGTGTAAACCTATGCTTCCTAAAAGCTGAAATTTAACTATTTTCAAGCTACAAACCGTCGTACACGTCGGTTGTTTCTTGCGTACGCTTGTTATCACTTGTCTACGGAGCTTGGAAGAAGTTCATGCTTTTGCTGACAAGTTGCGTGAAGAAAGCTTCAATAGCTAAGTAGGTAGTGCGCATAGCTTAAACATGCCGAAAAAGACACCCACATAAGGAGAAATTGCAAATAGGAAATGTGAAATATATAGACTATAAAAAAAGTTCCCTGAAAATAACTTCAGTAACAATTTGCACAAATTACCTTGTAACTTTTCGCGAGGATCAAATCCACCATCCTCTGCGCCGTACACAGCCTATGAAGGTGTGTCAGCCATGTAATCTTCAGTCTTGAAGGGCTTTCCAGAAGCCACCTCGTGTCAATACATATTTAGTTTAGCTGACGCTAACTACTATCAAATTAAATAAAAATTCAAAGGTAAGAGGGTCCTGGAAAAACAACACCAGCTCATCAAGAAACTTTTCATAGTATATCCACATGTGCCATCGACCATTGACCTTGAACTGATTACCTACCTTCGCATGGAGAAGGAAGCACAAGTGAACAAAAGTTCTCAAACAACTTCATGTTTGCCCTTGCTTTTGATGGCCAAAGCTTCCAAAAATTTGTTTGACATTAGAATGTCAGGGAACATTCTGCATTGTGAGGTTTGAAGTTGCAATCCTGCACAATGAACAAGTAGAGGTTACACAGCAAAGGGAAGATGATCCTCAGCAAAAAACAGTGATGGCACTCATGAGGCACAATATATAACACCCTTGGTTTCAACTAAATCTGGCTTTCCTGTGTCAAATAAGTTGGCATATGCACCAATTATCATTCCCTTTAACCAGAGTGGAACAATATATTGTGCAATGCCCGTGCGCCGTTCTTTATTATGTAAGGCTTTCATAGAATCCTATCATTCCATTTAACCAGAGTGGAACAATATATTGTGCAATGTGGAACAATATATTGCTCAGTGGCAGCTGAATTAGACTCTCAACTAATAATTTACGAGATCGAATCCCCTTAAATTCAGAATAAATTTGTTAATAAAGTATTTCAGAATAAATTCACGTTTGTCAATATTTGACTGATGATGAGGGCTAAAAAAAGATAAATAAAAGAAAAATAAAAATGAAAAAGAAGGGAAAAAAAACTCATGTTCAAGTAGGTTTCAGCGTTTCACATAGAATCTTATTATTCGGAGCGGTGTTAGAGGCACACCATGAGGCACACCTCCGGTCACACTCCCCCACCTACTACAGTGCAGGGGGCCCCACAGGAGATTTTTAAAAAAATCTCCTGTGGGGCCCCCTGCACTGTAGCAGGTGGGGGAGTGTGACCGGAGATGTGCCTCATGGTGTGCCTCTAACATTTCTTTATTATTCGATATACTTCTGCATGTAAATCTTCAGAACTAACGTTAGTTGAGCACAAAGTTCCTTAAATTATTATTCGATATACTTCTGCATGTAAATCTTCAGAACTAACGTTAGTTGAGCACAAAGTTCCTTAAATTGTTCGTCAAGGTTGATAAAACATAAATATACACTAAAATGTCTTTTACTAATATTAAAGAAGTTTTCACTAGCTTAAAAGCGACAGTTGTTTTACTATTTATCGTTATTATTTTGTTAGAAATATTATATGTATTATCTATTATTAAATCAAAATTTTCAGCTTTTATATATTATGCACCGTCTTCTCTACGTCAATCCTACCAAAATATGGCAATTATCTTATTAATACGCCACTTGATATTCTCTCTCTTTTTTTTTATTTTTTTATTTTTTACTCTTTCCAAAATCAAGATTATTCAGGCATCTCTCTTGAATTTTCATGCATGGGGTAGGTGTTAATACAGGACGATTATTTACAAGAGCAGAAGAATTATTTGCCGAAAATAATTAAATATGAAAGTTGGTTGCGAAATTTTCTGTAGCAAGAGATTTTTCTATTGTTCGCATATGTGCATAATCAAATAAGCTTATTTCTAACAGGAGACTTTGTTCTTATACGTGAAATCATGGGATCCAAGTCTCCCCTTTCATGATGGCCAGCCCATTTATATTTTATTCCTCCGACCAGTGTGTCATATCAAGGCTTAATTTTTTCCCCCCATTATTAGATACATACGCTAATCATATTTATCAAATTATATGGTTTCTGGCAATACAACCATAGTCATTGTACATGCTACTTCGAAGGGGGACTACAATATACAAATGTTTAATATAAAATATTAAGAAAGATGGATCTTGCTCAATGTTCACTTAAACACGTAAATGTAATCATTGATGAAGAGTTCGATCTTAAAAGTCAAAATTTAGGAGAGTGCTTTACATAGAGTCAAGAAGATGCGAGGAAAATCAATCTCAATAGAGAACTGGGAGTAAATAGCATAAAGAAACGCTTAATCAGCCGCTTAAAGAGATTAGTCAAATATATAGCTCTGATGCAGAAAATACTAAAATCTAGAAAAACATTTTAAAAAAATATTATAAGTCATTGAAAAAAAAGAACAGTGCGGTTGGCATCAGAAGCGATCTTCTTCAAAAGAAATTCAAGTATTATAGTATTTTACCAAAACATATATCCGTAGCAAATAACCTCAAAACCGAACCTTTACTAATAGAATATTGAAAATAGAACCACAGCATTTTCGCTTGCAGCATTTTGATGTTAACCCCAACTAATGAGCACGAGGGAATCAAGCTATTACTTATGGTTCCATAGATTAGCAATAAAGTATGATACACACTATAAATAATCAGGGATAAGATCAGAAGCGCTCCCACCCTTCTTTGAATACCGCTTACAGGAACAAGAATGATCAACTCCTCGCTGCGGTTGAACATTAACATCAATTAAATTAGAATAGCCTTCAAAAATATTTGTACCACATAACAACCAATCAATGAAGTCCTTAGAAACAGGAAACAATCTAAAATCCACAAGCCATCGGTTTGCTCATTGTCCTGATAGTTGCCAAATATAATCCAACTGCTAAATTGTTTTGTGTTTTAGAATGGATAAATGCTTGGCCAAAAAAAATCGAAGTATTTGTGTTGCAGCATGAGTATCCACACATGCATGCTAGTGTTATAATTTGTAACATAAAAGTGAAATTTGCAAAATGGACTTACGGTATCTAACCAAACTACAGCACAAATAACTATTCTTATACACCCATATATACCCAAGTTATTCTCATTAATTAAACAATATCCCAAAACGCTGAAACCACACGTTACAAGCGAATGAGCGATAAACATAAAATGCAAACTTTCTCAATGCCAAGATGTATACTTATAGCCTTAACATTATTTGCCACGATGCCTCCAAATTGACAAAAGACTACTATCTACCAGTTCTCTGAATAGCCAGTAAAGCTTGATCACAAAGGTAACACACGGCCTACATCAAGAAGTAAAGGATCAGGATGCCAGAACATATCAATCAATTTCAATAATCAAATGTGACCGCAATTGCATTTAATGATCCAAGTCAATTCAATATCTAGACAGGTCAGGATACGAGGCAAATATCAATCAACTTCAAGATTCAATTGAGACTTCAGCTACATAAAATGATCTAAAGTCGTAATTACAATGTGACAACTAACCAACTAGACACATGGTTGACAACTATCTGGCTCGTAAGAACTCCGACACGAAGTCTCATGGGAGTTCACAAGACAAAACTGAATACTGGAAACAATATTTGTCAGGTAAAAGAAAGGGTATTCTAGAAAGAGTAATAATCTTCTTGATCAACAAGGCATCACCATAGCTGAAGATTCAAGCAGACTGCACATCACAGGGTCCAGGAACTCACATCAAGGACAAAACCAGATGTGACATTTAATTCCATACATATTCCAGGAATATGTACGGTTCAAACATTACCACCTAAGCAAACTGTATCAGCAATGAGATGAACCAACAGTAATTATGTCATTGTATAAAAAGAAAGCAAACTGCTCTTGTATGTTTACATGATCTGCTCAATATTTTAATCTAAGAGGAATGTATGCAGACCAATATCCACACAGAATAAACATTCAGATGTTCCGTGCAAAACTTACTGTCTGGCATAGATTTCAATGGTAGATTGCAGAGATCAATATAGATTCTGTGCCATCAAGTATCACAATATACAATGGTCTCCAGTTTTAATATAATCTGTGAGGTTGATGTACTACATTCCAATCTTGAGTATGCTTGAGTCTACTAGAAAGATAAAAACATGACGCCTCGAACCCTAATTTATTGTGTCGTTCCTATCTTTCATCAGCGTGGGTGTTGGCAGTCATAATGAGCCAAACATCGAGTCGCTATTCCCCAGCACCACTTGTTCAAGTTTTTAGTATTTCTTCCAACGTATCGGCACTTCGTGCAAATTCTCGACACATCTCTATGGTTCTTCCTGATCATTAGCTCTTGTTTGCTCTTCAAAGTCTTCCCCACATTCTTCTTAATCTAATTCATATTTCTTTTATACTCTCCTATTTCAAACCCTCTTTCACTGAAAGCTATAATCTTTTAAACCACATATACTCAATTACACTACAAAACCACTGAAAATACACAAACTCTAACCCAAAAAAAAAAAAATCAACCTAATTTGGATTTGCAATCACCTTGAGAGAGGCAAGTCCAGCAAGAGGAATCAACGCCGATGCTCGATTTAAGACGAGACGAGGCGATCGCACTGTGAAGAGGCATTAAAGACTCAACAGTTCCCAATGCGGAGACGATAGCCCTAAAAATAAGAACAATAGAAAAAGGAAGGAACTAACTAAGATGGAGGCAAGGATAGCTAGGGTTTAGGGTTTACCTTGAAGAGAGGAGAGAATCTTGTCGACGGTGCGGTGACCGGAATTGGGGTTTTCAAGCGGATGGGGGCCGATCTCACGGCGGCGATGGCGGGAGACCCGAAGAGCGATGCCTATAGGTCTC